CAATATCGAATCTATCAGTTACATCTCTGAAAGATGAAGTCTGGTGACCAACGAACCGTAAATATATTAATGTTTGTTCATATTCTCCAACCTTTCCATTGCCTCTCGCTTGATAATGAAAATATTGTGAATTTATGAAGTGGTCTGCAATATCTTCAGCAACCGCACGACTGACACGAAAGTGTTCAATAAATTCACAATCGTAACTTGACACCGTTTCTTCAATATAATTCTTATTTTTAGGCCTTATACATTCATCTAGAATTTGTAACAAATCTTCATCCGACGACAATTCTTCAATATCAAACACCTCTTCATCAGAAGAACTTTCAGAAGATTCCTGAAATATATTATTGTTACTTCATAAGTTATTTAATCATAGTTCTTTCTTCTTCTTCGTCTAGCCATTCACGTCCACATCTGAACATAAGCCTCTTCAAGTCTTCCTTTCCATTGTTTTTTATTGTACGCTACTTGTCGCCAATTTTTCCCGGCAGTCCTTTTCAGATCATCTGTCCATCTCATAGGAGGTCTGCCTCTGGGTCTTTTGTGTTGGTATGGTCTCCAGGTTAAAATTGATCTGTGCCATTTGTTTACATCGCTCCTAGCTACATGTCCAGCGTATTCCCATTTCAACTTTAATGATTTTTGCACCACATCGGTGACTTTGGTTTTCTGTCTTATCCATGTGTTTGTTTTCTTGTCCTTAAGTGATATACCTAGCATTGCTCTTTTCATCGCGTGTTGAGTGACTCTAAGTATATTCATATTCTTTTTTGTGATTGTCCATGTTTGTGCCGCATAAGTTAATATCGGAATAATGCATGCATCAAAAACTTTATATCTAAGATGTAATTGAATTTGTTGATTTCTGAGTATATAGTTCAGTTTTCCGAATGCTGCCCAAGCCAACTTTCTTCTTCTTTTTATTTCTTCAGTTTGAATTTCCCTATTTAGGATTATTTTTTGTCCTAAGTATATATATTCTTCAACTTTTTCTATAACTTTATCGTTTATTATTGTCACGGTGTCTTCGGAGTGCATGACTTTTGTTTAAATTCATTTTCAGTCCTATTTTAGAAGATTCGGTATGTAGTTCTAAAAGCATGGTTTGCATTTCTTGTAGGTCAGTAGCTAACAGGATTATGTCATCTGCAAATCGTAGATTACTGAGGTAGCGGCCATTGATGTTTATTCCCTTATATTTCCAATTTAGGTTTTTAAAAACGTCCTCCAAAACTAAGGTGGATATATCTGCTGTGTTTATTAAGTTAATATATCTGCTGTCTATTCTACAATTTTGCATTGCGTTTATTACGGCCGTGTGTTCTATGGTATCGAAAGCTTTTTCGTAGTCTACAAATGCTAGGAAAGCTGGAAACTTGTATTCGTTACATTTTTCTATTATTATTTTTGTGGTTAACAGGTGATCGGAATTTGAATAGCCTTTTCTAAAACCTGCCTGTTCATATGGTTGGTATTCGTCTAATTTCCTTGTTAGTCGAGTAGTTATGACTTTGGTGAGTATTTTAAACAGGTGCGACAGTAGGCCGATGGGTCTGTAGTTTTCCAATTTTCGACTATCACCTTTCTTGTGTAATAAGATTACTTTAGAGTTGTTCCAGCTCTTAGGGACTTTGCCCTGATGTAAACAACTGTCCACAAGCTTATTTACAATTGCAATTAGTTCCTTACCTCCTTCTAATATCATATATGTGGTAATACTATCTTCTGCTGCAGCTTTATTTCTCTTCATGTTTTCCAATGCTGTAGATACCTCTGAAATTGTTACTTTTGGCATTATTTCTGATCCAACATTTTTTATTAATTTCCGTGCTGGTCTCATCTCATCATCTTGTTGATGTGATCTGTAAAGTTCTGTGTAAAATTCTTCTATTCGAGTCAGTATGTTTTCTCTACTTGTGATTTCATTTTCGTCTTTTCCCATTAATGATATCATCTGACGTCGTCCTAGTGTCGGTCTGAGGCATTTCATACTCTTATTTTTTTCAATAGTTGTTGTTATTAATTTTTCGTTTTCTTTTCTTTTTTGTTGTCTAATTCCTTTTCTAATCTGCCTATTAAGTTCTCTATTTTCTTCGGTTCCCCTTTTGTTAGATTTATTTAACATCTTCCTTCTTTCTATTTGTTGTAATATTTCTTTGTCTAATTCATTGTATGTTGTTTTTGGTTTTTTCAGTTGCAGAAGGCTCTTATTCACTGTTTCGGTAATAAGGTTATTCAAATCATCAATATGATTGGAGTTTATCTGCTGCATGCTAACTTGATTTAATGCATGCACTATCTTTTTATTAAATTCACTATTTTTGATTTCTTCAGATGTCCATTTGTATCTTTTTTCATGTATTCTTTTTCTTTCTAGTTTTTTGTTAATTATTAGTTTTGTTCTTATTAGTCTATGATCGCTTCCTAGGTCAAACTGATTTAATACTGATACGTCTTCTACTAGGTTTCTATTCTTCGTTAAGATATAATCTATTTCATTCTTTGTCTTTTTATCGGGACTCATCCATGTCCATTTTCTGCTTGGTTTTTTATTGAAAAAGGAGTTCATTGAGTACATGTTATGTTCATTCATGAAATTGAGAAGTATTTCTCCTCTATCGTTTCTTTTCCGGTAGCCATAGTTACCAATTAAATGTTCATAATCTTCCTCTTTTTTGTCCAATTTAGCATTAAAATCTAATAGTATTTCGTAATTTGCTTTATTTGTTTCTATAGCTGTTCTTATTTCATCATAAAATATTTCTACTTCTTCATCGTCGTGGCTTTTGGTCGGAGCGTACACTTGGATCACTTTCAGAGTGGTTCTTTTATTAATCCTGATGATGAGATATGCTACTCTGTCTGATATGGGCTTGAATTCTTCGATACACTGTGTGAGGCTTTGTTTTACCAAGAATCCCACTCCAGTGTATTCGCCACCTTTATGCATAAAATGTGTGCCATTTTTTATCATAGTTTAATCATAGTTATATCACGTATAATAGTCCAAAAATTTATTCAATAAAGAATAATCAATGTAAATACACCAAACGTTGGAATTAAAAAATAACCAATAAATAATCAGTTCAATATAACTTAGTGAAAAATATTTACAATATATTTTATATTTACAGTTACAGTTACTATTAGTTGGAAAATAATCTTTAAACCAGAATGACTATTTGAAAACGGTCAACAAATCTGCAAGAACATCTGACCAAACAGTTGGAGTTTGAAATTAAACCTGCACGGACACAATTATTTTACTGCGCAAACTCGAGCGTTGTAAAACCGTTTACTACTGCAGTAACAAACCTATTATAAAATTATACAAACCTCGCTTTAAAACGTATGAAATTGACAAAATACTCAGGATACTACAGGATAAGGGACATTCAGTTTTACGTTTATGCCCGTATCATCCGGATTTGAATCCTATAGAGTTAGTATGGGCTATGAAGCAATGTCGCTGAAAAAAATCTTAGTTTTGATTTTAAATTATTAGAAAGTTTGTGTGATGAATTTTTTATTTCGTTTTCAGTCGAACAATGGAAAAAGATGAGTTAACATGTTAAAAACATAGAACAGTTATATCGCACAACAGCCAGCTTTTGACCCCCGTGGTGGATCAAATAATCATAAATGTAGGTGTCGATAGTGACAGTGATTCTGAAAATGACGAGATGTCAGTATTATAAACTTTTAATATTTTTTTAGAGATAATGTTATTTTTATTTAGTTAGTTAGAAAGAATTTTTAATTTCCCGCCTTAATCAATTATAGGGCCCCTAAAATCTCATTTTTGTTTTAAGAGTTTACACTTTTTTTATACTTTGAGTAAATATTCAAAGATAAAGGCCGCTTTTAACAAAAGGTACTAGTACAAAGACACCCTATGCTTCACCGGAACCGAACATCTAATTTCTATTAGTATTATGTAACCTCGGAAACCTTTTTTGGATGGTGCTAGAAAGGTCACCAATGGAGACACTGCGGACGGCAGCCAGATGGCTGGTGGAGAGTGAGTCGTAGGTTCGAAACTAGCTTTTGAAACCGGGAATGGATCCAACGGACGAAATAAGTAAAGAGATGACAGGATAAGATATAATAAAAAAGATACAGAAATAAACAAAAAGATAGATGGGTACAATAACTAAAGATAAGATAAGATTAAGATAAGGGCGCCCTTAACTTTTTGGGGTTTTAGGGGAAAATTAAGAAACCTTATAAGTCAAAAGAGATAAGGAAAGATATTTAGGTCTTGAGACCAAATCCAAGGAAAGATATCAACAGTTAATTATTAAGTAAATTTGATCAGCACACTACATAAACAAAAAATAAATCGCTAACATCTTGCAAACTCGCACCCCCTCGGGGCGCTTAAGGGCGAAAAGGACCAAAATTGTTTTTCGAATATTTATGATTGAAATTATATGTACTTAAATCTTTTATTGAATCATCGAATTTCCTGAAATATCAGGTGGTTTTAATCCTAAATAATATTTTATAACTGAAATTAATATTGGTAATACTTCCCAAATGAATCTCCGTAATCCATAACACAACCACTTCACTTAACGTGTAGACAGTTTGACTGTCGATGCGCGACTGTAGTTTTGTGAATTAAAACACTTGTCCTTTACGACAAACATTTTAATGATAACAACTTCCTTAGTTTCATTTAATACTCTCATATACCTAAAATTATACATATTCCGATTATTCAAACATGCGATTGTGTCCCCTATATAATCTTATAACTTTCGTCTATCATATCATGTTGCTTTACTTTTACTGTCACATAGTACCATAAAAATGATTAAGGGAGTATTACACTTTTGGTGATTGCACAATAACTAGCTGTAGTAATTCTGGTTGGACCCTTTGGAAGTCTACAAAAACTGAATTTTTCGCGTATACTCAGCAATTATATAATACAGTTTACCTTATATAGCTTTCTATTGGGCATAATAAAAAAACAATTGATATTTTAGGTGATATGGAAATTGTGGGAAAAGGTCCTACGGAGGGCATAAAATGTGTACTAAAATATATTCCTTATTCCTATTTTACTCGAGATTCTCAAAGGCGAGTCAAAGGTGTGGTGATGGACGCAGAAGGCAATGTAAAATGGATCATTAATGGTACATGGGACGATCAAGTGGAGATAGCACCAGTTACTGGTAATACAGGTACCAATGGAAATGCTGTTTATGAAACTGGTTCATCAGTTGTTGCTTGGAAACGACGACCACCACCGCAGGACTCTGAAAAGTTAGTAATAATAACACAGTATTTATTTTAGTTCTTATCTACAAATGTTTGGTATATTAAAACCAAAATATGTATATTGTTGAATATACAGGGTTCAGCAGTAGTGAGAGGAAGTCATTATTAAAATACATTATTTATTTAAAAGTTGGAGCATAGATAGATATCTTTACAAATATTTTCAAATATACAGGAATTTCATATATTGGTAGGGTGGAATAAACCTATCTTTTTTTTAATATAACACCCTGTATATTTTTACATTTTTGGACTCTTCTTGTTTAAATTCAATTATGGTTGTGTAAATTAATCGATACATTTGTCCTCCCTGTATCCCTACGATTCCTCTATCCCCCTTGCACCTATCGGGGAATGCACCACTCAAGATCGACAGCGATTGTCGATAAGATAGAACAGACTCAACTCGAAATTGGACCAATACACACTTATTAAATTCGTTTTGTTCGTTGTTTCGTAAAATGGTATAAACCGTGGTAATCAACTTCAATTACTAGTTCAATTACCTAGTTTTACCCGAACCTATACATTATTTTGATTGTTTATTGCAACCATTTAAATGAGTTGAAGTTCATTCATCTCTCCAGGCTATCGAAGGAGATATAGTTGACGTTAATTTAATTATTAATAATTATCTCGTAATAGTTCATTGTTTATTTATTTAGCCACAGTTCTCGATGGTCGGGTTTTTAAAATATAAGATTCTGCAATGTTATTCGAGGTACTTTAAAATATAATTAAGTTATGTTTAATTTCGTAACAGCATAATACCCTGTAGAATTATAGAATTTGAATAAAGTAATTTCGATAAACAAATTAATATTAGATTAAAAAAAAAAGTAAATTGTTAGTCTTAATGTTAACCATACCTTGGTATTCTCATCAGTAAATAAACTAATACATCAGATAGATAGTATACGGATTTTCTTCTTAATTCAATATGGCATCATTCTTCTTCTTCTCGTAGCACTACAACCCGGAATGGGTCGGCTGACTGCACACCCCGACCCGGTTTCATCTCGAACGGTCTTCCATGATAGTTGAGTAGGTGGGTATCCCCGTTGTTCTTAAATCTGACCATATGTTACCTCTCCACCGCATTCGTGGACGACTCAAGTGCCTTTTCCCTGTCGGGGCTTCCTAGAGATTAACTTTAGAGAAGATTGGAGAAGCCTATGGATATTGAAAGGTCATCTTAGATGTTGTGATTTAATCTCTTGGACGACTTCTTGCCACACTTTTTGTGGTTATGTTTTTTTTTTCTCGAAAATGTCTGATATTATAGAATATATTTCAGGTTAATATTTGTTTTCCTATTTTGATGTACATTTAATGTTGACGTATAAAATTTCTTTTGAACAATGGTTTATTTGCGTTTTCTTTTACTTAGGTTTTACAATTTTACACTTTTGGCTGCCCAGCTTAATGAACCGGAAGAAGGTGTAGCTCCAACTGACTCCAGATTGAGGCCTGATCAGAGGTTAATGGAAGAGGGCTTGTGGGATGAATCAAATAAAGAGAAAATTCGTCTGGAAGAGAAACAGAGAGCTTCCAGAAGACAGCGAGAGGCAGAAGCTGAAAAAGCTGCTGCCGAAGGTAATATTTCAAATTTATAATATATTTAAAAATATTCTGAAATTATCTTCTATTGGCATGTCTTAATTAAATATTGTTACGACTGATAATCGAGTGACAGCAGTTGGTACTTGGAATCACCCTTAAACTAGAAGTGTCATAGGAAGACATTTTAGATGGAATGTACGCGAGGACATTGAGGGACGAGGGGTTTTGTCAAATTATTTAATTTTTGAGTGTCAGTTATTTCAGTATTTTATGTTAGTTATTTCCGTTTGAGTTCGTAAACCACGTGTTTCAAGAAAAACACGGTACCCATTGGTGTCAGAAGTGGGATGTCTTAGTGGCCAAGCTCAGACGATTATTAGTTGAAAATGCCGAAAACTAGACGTCAAGGCGATTTTCCGACGGATTTTGGAGATGATTCAGAAGGTCCCTCCTGCCAAGATCCTTCATTACTAGCCATATAGCAGGATCAGAACTGCATTGCAAGAAAATTTAACAATTAAGATAACCGAAAATCAAACTACAATAACGGAACAGTTAGATGGTCTTAAAGAAGACTGAGATACACGGAGCCGCTACTGAGACCACAACGACAAAGATACAAGAGGTTGTTAATGAGAATACCTCGCTACTGCGAACAGAGATGCAGGAATTGGAGCGCATGTTTAAATATGATGTAGTCTAAATAATAACAAATGTTGCAACTATTCCTGAATTTGCACGTCATTCCAGCGCAGCTTAAGTCAAACCACCAACATTTGATGGCACGACTAGTTGTTCAGTTTATCTGAAACAGGAATCTTGCACTTGTCTCAATTGGAAAGGCGATATAGTGACAAACAGCTACAACAAGTGTGCCAAACTCAGTTAAGGTCCAGACAGTAGAAATCTGGTGAATTTCTACAAAAATTTGAAGCCGATATAGCACGCCTTATCAGACTGGCCTATCCTACTGCCACTGCCCCAGATGACTTTCTGGAAAAACCGGCTGTCTAGACTTTTGTATATGGACTACGCGACATCGAAATGCAGCAGGTTATGCGAATAACTAGAAATAAAATACTAGGAGACGTCTTGGATCATTAGAGCATTAGAGTATGAGGCAGCCAAATCCACCTTTAAAAGTCACATAAGAATTCGTTAGGTTCAGGCTACCAACGATAATGAAAAATTTGGTGAACTTCTAACAAGACTTAAAGGTTTTCTCAAACGATTGGAAAATAGGAGCCGCAACATTGTCTAACTCCTACAATGTCCCAGTAGTTAGAGTTTCGCAACTTCAGCACAACGAGAAAAGTCTTCTGATTTCTGGTAAGTTTAATTAAAAAATTTGTCAAATAACCATTGATACTGGCGCAATTCACACTTTAGTCCACCCGCGGATGGTATCTGTTTCTGAGATCTGTCGATGCGAGAGAAGTTTAACAGAAGAACTTGTAACAACCGCAATCGAAACAATAGCTTTTATCCATGGTTATACCGACGTGGAGTTGCAGCTCGGATGGCAGAAAATCATACATCGTGTGCTGGTAGCTGATATAATGGAGATACAATGAAGGTTAGATATTTTAACAAGAAATGATCATAGGATACTGATGTTCTTCAAGCAACGAGCAACATGGTTTTTCTAAGACAAAACCTACAATAAGCAACTTAGCTATTTATCAAAAATTTATATTAACGGCTTTGTACAAGGGGTAAGTGGATCGAAAAGTTTTATTCAGAATTGCACAATACACTAAAGTTAACAAAGTGTAGACACATTTCGTACATTTCATAAGACCTTAATGCAAACATTGGAGCAAGTATAGAGTGGCTGAAGTCAGAGTTTGTGACTATCGGACACTGAGTCTCATGAGGCACACTTTAACAGTACTACTTAAGATAATACATAAGAGAATAAGCACATTGACAGTAAAATCAGAAAGATAATCCAAACATTACATTGGAACCAAAGTGCCATAGTTCAAATTGATGGGAAACAATCAGAAGAAATTAAGATCTGTAGAGGAGTTAGACATTGATACATATTATCGCCTCTTTGGTTACTTCTATTCTGACGAAATTTTCAAAAATACCCTCAATAATATCAAAGCAGGAGTTACCGTTAATGGAAAATTAATTAGCAACTTACGATATGCATGTGACACTGTGATCATTGCAACGAGGCATAGAAGACCTACAACATCTAATCGAAAGCTTAAGTATGAATAGTGCTGAGATGAGAATTACTATAAACGCTAAAAAACGGAATATACGCTACTATAAACAGAAACTACAAAAATACCACAAAATATACACCACATATTGACAATAAATGGTAACGTGATAGAAGAAGATGAAAAATATCAGTACTTGGGAACTTTGATAAATGAAACCATTGATCGTACTGCTGAAATAAACAGGTGAATAGAGATTGCCATATCAGCATTTATAACGTGCAGAATTCTTAATTTGGAAATCAGACTATGTACCAGTTGATGTTATGTATTTTCAATATATGGAGCTGTGACTTGCACCTTAAAAAATGAAATTTAAAAAGAATCGAGGCTTTCGAACTCTGGTCATAGTTCAATATTAAAAATATCATGCACTGATAGAATTACAAATAAAGAAGTACTGGAGAGGGTTGGTAAAGAAACAGAACTATCACCACTATACAAAGAAGAAAACTGAAATACCTAGGCCACGTGATGAGGGGACCAAAATATGAAATTTTGAGATTCATAATACAGGGAAAGATACAAGGATGAAGATCTGTTGGCCGAAGGCAGAATTCTTGGTCGAAGAATCTACTTGATTGGTAGCAATCATCGGTTGATTTAAGAGCAGCTAGTTCCAAAAAAAAATAGCCATCATGATTGCCAAACTTCGTAGAGAGACGGCATTCTTAGAATAAGAACGATGCATTATAGTTTATTCGTCTTCCGGGTTTGGACCGTGTCATTTGTGAGTGACCCAAAAGTGGGTTCATCTCGACGTTTCGCTACAATTCTATGTAGCTTCTTCAGAAGAACAAAGAAAAAGAAAAAGAAGACAGGAAGATGGGTAGTTAGCAACGGTAACTCAGTTACTCAACGCAACCAGAGACGAATACTAACTACCAAGATGGTCATTTGGTCACAGTAACTCAACTACTCAACGCAGCCAGAGGTGAAAACCAAATGCCAGGACAGGGATTCACGTCCAACAGCTCAGAACACTAACGCGTCGAGAGGCGGGGAGTGAATCCGACGATTACTCCGCTACCGCTCTATTTATAGTCGCGGTGACCTGTCGTGTCGGGACGTATCGGCACACTCCGTGGCGCGAACGTCAAGAAGCGCGCGCTGGCCAATCATGTGGCTGCATCGTGGTAGCGGGACCGGACGGCGGCTCTAGACTGAGATTCCAGATGGGAGACAAGTAGTATCCTTCCTCTCGATTGATATTATGTGGATTTTTTCGGATCTCTAGAGATTCGCGGATTTTCCTGGAATAAAAGAAGGGGCTCTTAGAAATAATATGGGTTTTTTCGAACAATATGGAATGACCGGTTTCTTGGCAGTGTTCTGCAACTGCAGAATGGGAGAAAAGACCTGATCGAATGCATCTTTGATGCTCTTGAATCCGAGTTTTGACGGAACGACCAGTTTCGCCAATATACACATGTCCACATGAACAAGGAATAGAATAGACACCACAGGAAGATAGGGGCGGTAATGGGTCCTTAGGAGAGGGTAGATATTGTGAGATTTTCTTGAATGGCCGAAAAGTAGGCCTGATACCTTCTTTGCGAAGAATTTTGCCAATCCTATCAGTGACACTTCGAATATACGGAAGAAAAGCCACAGGAGTATTACCCGAAGATTCTGAATTTGTCGTCCTAGGGTGTAAAGGGGGATGTAGATGTCGGTGTGTAATATTTTGAATTGTGGACTTGGAGTAACCGTTGGCGACAAGGGTTTTTTGCAGATGGCCAAGTTCTTCTCTAAGGTTGTCAGGTTCAGAAATCGAAATGGCCCGATGGATGAGAGAGTTGATCACAGAATTCTTTTGGGCAGGATGGTGATGTGATGAAGCATGTAGGTAACAATTCCTGTGAGTCTTTTTTCTATAAACAGAGTGACCCAAACGGCCATTGGGCTTGGAGGTGACTAACACATCGAGAAAGGGAAGGGACCGATTATTTTCTACTTCCATTGTGAATTTTATACTCGGATGTTGTGAGTTAAGATGATCTAGGAAGGGAGAAAGGGTATGTTGACCATGGGGCCAGATGATAAATGTATCATCAACGTAGCGGAACCAGACTTTGGGTTTTAAGGGGTAAGATTCTAGGGCTAAAGACTCAAAGGCTTCCATGAAAATGTCAGCAATGACAGGGGAAAGGGGAGAACCCATTGGTGTTCCAGATATTTGTTTGTAGAAATTGCCTCTAAAAGAAAAATATGTTGAAAGGAGGCATTTTTTCCGCAAGATCTGCCAAAACCAAAGACTTGTTATCATTGGTCAAGTGATCTCGCAGAACAACTAGAGAGTCATGTATGGGGATATTGGTAAATAGGGATGATACATCGAAACTGACGAGAATGTCTTGGGGATCGACCGTGAGGGAGGAGATTAAGGTGATGAAATGTGTGGAATTTCGGACATAAGAAGAGGTACGACCAGTATAGATCTTAAACTGATTCTATGGACTTCTTAACATCATCGGAAAGATCGGATTGTTTGATGGCATGGGAAATTTCGCGTTCGACTCTAGGAGTGGGGTCTCGAGAAATTGTATTATAACAGGATGTATGCCTAAGTAAGTCGTGTGCCGATACGTCCCGACACGACAGGTCACCGCGACTATAAATAGAGCGGTAGCGGAGTAATCGTCGGATTCACTCCCCGCCTCTCGACGCGTTAGTGTACTGAGCTGTTGGACGTGAATCCCTGTCCTGGCATTTGGTTTTCACCTCTGGCTGCGTTGAGTAGTTGAGTTACTGTGACCAAATGCCCATCTTGGTAGTTAGTATTCGCCTCTGGTTGCGTTGAGTAACTGAGTTACCGTTGCTAACTACCCATCTTCTGTCTTCTTTTTCTTTTTCTTTGTTCTCCTGAAGAAGCTACATACAATTGTAGCGAAACGTCGAGATGAACCCACTTTTGGGTCACTCACAAATGACACGGTCCAAACCCGGAAGACGAATAAACTATAATTCTGACTCTGGCCGTGGAAGCCTACAATTTCATAAGAACGATGCAGTTTATATGGACTTTTTAAAAGCATTTAATTCTGTTTGCCATGATTTACTACTTGAAAAACTTAGATGATATGGATTTTATAGACTGCATTTAGTTAGATCGCGAGTTACCTAGAAAATAGAGATCAATAAGTTAGATATGCAAGCTATATTTCAAATGCCATAATGGTATTTTCAGGCGTACCTTAGGTGTCATATGTGGGTTCTATTCTAGCAGATAAATATCTGATAACGAGATCCTGGATATTTTGCTGGCTTCTCAATTGGATAATTACATTGTCCATTTAAGAGTTAAAAATTAGGATGTTAAAAAAGAACGTGTATAATGAGTTTGGTGCAGGAACTAAAAGAAAAAGACTAGGTTCCAGATTTAATTGTTTTTTTAATGCGTTGAAAAGTAAAGTGTAACAAAAATAGACCACAGACTATTAATGGACTCAAATAATTGAAAGGATTTGTGCAGAGTTCTTATGAACAACGTGAAATCGGCTGCCTTGGATTCTCCTGCACAGTTTTACGAACAGCAGCGATGTTTTCGGTAGATCTTGCATATCCTTGACGTGCAGGTGTTCGTTGATTATTGACTGAACTTTTGGGCGAAGCTCAATTTGATAAAACAATTTTATTATGTGCACGAGTTGTTTCACGCTTTATCCACCTATGCTGATTTGAAAGATTAAATAAATGACAACCAACTTGATAGATGTAATATCAATAATAGGGTCGCTACAAAATGCTAAAGTTCGGAAGACCATTAGGCGAGGCAATGAAGCAATAAACCTATCAAATTTTTGCAGTTGAATGGACCTCAATGAAACTTTTTGCATCAATTCGTAAGACTGTCAGGAAATTTTGTAATCAAAAATGATGTTGTGGAAATGAAAATTGCATTATTCAACAAGGAAAATGCGATTTCCAAAGTATATTTCGAAATCATGAAAAATAATAAATTTTGACCTGGCTTCGTCTTTAGGAGTTTTGTGAAAATTTTATACAAATCTCAGGGGTTTTTGGGGTCGCCGAAAACTAATATAATGACGGCGATGGTGTGCGAGGCAACTACTGCCCAGGTCGGGCCTCGTCTCCTAGAGTTTTGTGGATATTCGATACAAATCAATGCAAACTCGTTAGTCGGGGATTTTTGGTGTGAGATTCACCTGATGTCCAGGGCGAGCTTTGTCTCCTAGAGTTTTGTGGAAATTCGATACAAATTCAGTGTAAACTCGTTACTCGGGGATTTTGTACTCGCTGAACACAAATATCATGTCGACCATAGTGTTATGACCACCTCAACTCCTTTAATTTTATGTAATTTCGATACAAAATCAGTGTAAACTCGTTACTCATGGGATTTGGGGATCCGGAACACTAATATGTCGGCGATGGTCTCTGAGGTACTTGGTGCCAATGATAGGCCTCGTCTCCTGGAGTTTTTGCATCGGAGACTCATTGTGTATGGAATTTTCCCATAACTCTAGATAACAAGGCCCGTCCTGGGCAGCAGTTGCCTCGCACACCATCGTCGACATAATATTAGTGTTCAACGACCCCAAAAACCCCTAAGTAACGAGCTTTACTGATTTTGTATCGAATTTCCACAAAATTCCAGGAGACAAGGTCCAGATGCACCGTGTGCCTCGGAGACCACCGCCGTATTGATATTCGTATTCAGTGACCCCAAAAACCCTCGAGTAGTAATATTGAATTCATTTCCGTCAATTCTGTCCGAATTATAAATTTATCATTTTTCATCCCTTGGAAATGCACTTTGAAAAATGCATTTTCCTTGTTTAATAACACAATTGTTATTTCCGCATAATCATTTTTGTTCATAAAATTTCCTTAAATTCTTACTAATCGAATGCAATAAGTTTCATTGAGAGCCATCCGACTGCAAATCTTTGTTCGTCTACATGTATATTTGAAATGATTCCGTTTTGATTTTCACTTCGATCTCGTCAATCTCCTGAATAGAAGAGAGGAGAAAAAATATATTTTATTTCTGTAAAATTTGAATTAAACTTGTGCGTTTGGGAGTAATTGACCTATCAATTTATCGATAACAAAATAAAAATAATAATGTTACTTTATTGTAGGCCGTCCATATCCCCCATATAAACCATTATGGTTTGAACAAATGCGGGAAGATGACTCGGACGTTATTCATCATGTTTATAAAGGAACCTACTGGGAATGTAAAACTAAGCAAGACTGGTCACAGTGTCCTGATATATTTTAGTAGAAGCTACATTACTATTTAAATTTTGAACAGGTGTACTGCTGTTCCACATGAAATATTTTTAGTATATACTTCTATGGAAATGTACAGGTAATGGATATAATCAAGTATAAAGTTTTTTGTTAACAAGATCTACTAATTACTGAATTATGTATTTTCATGTAAATATACTTGTATGGTTTTTGTAAATATTGAGAATAATTTAAACAATCATAATATTCAGGTTTACAGCTTTTTCTTAATATGTGATAATGTAAATATATTTGCTTATGCAATTTATCCGCCTTTTATTTACTTGTGACTAAAGGAGTGAGAAATCTTTATCCTAGTAATTAGTCTAGGGGCAAAGAGGGTTTCGCGGCCGATTGAGGTCGATCAGATTTTACAACTGATTTTTATGCAGTTTGACCCGCTGAATTCGAATCTTCAACATCCGCGTTTTTTGACAGGAATTTCTTATATTGTTATTTAATTTAACGATATCTTGATTACATTGAAAAGCGATACACAGTAGTGAAGACTTTTTCTTTGATCAATATTTATTTGGCAGATCTTGTTCATTTAATACTACTATATTTAAATATAGATTACTGTTGGTTTTGGATATTTTAAGAAGAAATTTGTCTGCAAGGAACTGCCTTATGTGATTTAAATGAGGCTCAATAGCTTCAACATGAAGAGGTTCGACTGGAGTTGTTTTCATGGCACAAAGACATACACTTAAGACTGAGTTCTGCAAGATATCTATTTTGTTTAAAATCTGTGAACTAACTGAGCCGTACAAGATACATCCAAAATCGATTGTCGAATGCAATTGCAGTACAATAATGTTGGTAATCGGATACACACGTACCGATTTTGTAGTATGAGTTTTACTTTCAAACAGAAACATGTCAGATAAGGACATACTTTTAGCTGCCTTTGCTCTTTGCAAACCAACCTCTTTTTTAAAAGAGAATTAATTGATTTTGACAAGCTAATTTATTATAAGTTATCCACCATTCTAGTCTAACTTTGATAGTTCTTTCCAAAGTCTTCAAAACATCCGACATCAAAAGATTGGCCTATATGATTGTACCAAGGTGGGATGTTTATTTGGTTTAAGGATTGATATGACAATAACACTTCTTAATATATCAATTTCTGCATCTTTAACAAGAATATCATTAAAAATATCAAGTATTTTAAGTCAAAATAGGTTTTTCGTTATAGTTGGAAGTTTTTTAAGCATAGGATATTTAATATCATCTTAGCCCGGAGCGGTGTTAGACCTATTAGTTAGCGCAAAGTCAAGTTCTTCCCGTGTAAATGGATTTAGAATAAAGTGACTTCTATCGGATTTTTTTGAATTGCTATTCCAGTATTAACTGATGTAGGTGCTATGTTGCCAAAAAATTCGTCAATCAATTCATCATTAAAATGATTAATACTTGGAGTATACTTCCTCTGCGTTGTCCTTGCTTCATTACGAACATTTTTAATAGGCATATTTTTATTTAAGGATGAACACCAGTTTTTCCAACTTTCTTTGGCTTTTTGTTTTAGCCGTTGTAATGTAAACATAGCAAGAAAATAAAGAATAGTAAAAATAAGGGCTAAGTAGCATAGAGAAGATAATAATTATTTAAAATAATTATTATATATTCCAAATTAAATAAAGAGTAAATTCGATACAGTAACGTATACATGTTAATCTATACAAAGAAAAACAATTTGACCCAGTTAGTTGCATGACACGAGCCAGTATCAGTTGCAACAATTGTTCAAAAAAGAAAATAGTCACGTTATAATAAACATAGACCTACGCTGGAAATATTCACCAGCGCCGACCTGCTTTTAATCATGAGGACTCAGCAAAAAACTCGACCTTGGTACTACAATCGGCATTTGAGAATACGAGCTCAATAAAAACGAAAAGAACGGAGGAAGCCCAGTCAGTCAGTATCTTCGGGCGGGGCTGTCAAGGCGAGAGGCGACACCAGGTGCGGATTACGCGCGATTGTTATATTTCGACGGGATATAGTTCCGTATAAGTGTCGGGTACAGAAAGAAACCCGATTTCCAGAGGAACTGAAGGGCGTATCATTAGCTAGAGCCTAAATACGCGAAAGGTAACAAAATTCCATATATTAACCCGAGTAAATTATAGTAGTACTGAACAATTCCCCTTCGTTGGCTCAGTGGAGATGTTCGTTCAGTTGTAATGGAAACACCAAATAATAGTAGCAGAGTTTATTGATGAGACGTACACTATGGGTGTTGACCCGGGATTACTTTGAGTAGAGACTGTTGCAGTTGATCGCTGAAGACTATCAAGTTTGTTGAGTAAATATTGATTGAATGCTTCTCTAGGCAAGAGATATTAGTTTTATATAAGTTTTAATTGGGTCAATATATTAGCGGGCCTCGCGTGATATGTGTGTCTAATTTATGTAAATTGTTTAACTTTGTCAGCACTTTTGACTGATGTCCAAATTATATTGTTGATAATTGACCAAATCCGTATGTAACCTAATTAACTACGTGTGTGTATTTAATAACAAATAAATTCATTCGGTCTACTGGGTGATAAAATTATACTGTCCAATTTCGGATATGAATTCTGAAGATTTGATATTGGACAAGTACAGATTGTCACCCCTTTACTTTCTTGCTAAGATCTTTTCTCGACTCCCTTCGCGCCGAACGAGTTATTATTGATTATATCTGACAGCTTGTTAACTTAATTGTAAACCACATAGTATATTCAATACATTTGTAGACTCTAAATTTGGTTTTTATGTTCCTTCCGGCCGATTCAGACAGAGACCAGGAGAGTACCAAATTTCGGCTTATACATTTATCCGGCTTCTAAAGTAAGCCCATAGAATCAAACTCTTTACAGGACCTGAGACCTAGAAGCCCTTAAATCCCTACCCCGAAACTTCTCCACCTTCTCGTAAATCCACGAAGGCGAGCCAGTCATTCCAGACCAGTGGTACCAGTAGCCTTGCAGCCGCTCGCAGGGATAAGCATCCTAAAGGTCCATATCGAGGATGTTACAGTGGTGACAGCGTTGTACAGTGGTGAAGATTTTCTCACCCTCTAGTTCCAGATTTTTACAATACGGGAACAAACCTCCCGATAGTTGAACAGTGGTTCTATATCTTCACATAAATGTTCCCCCTAGTCGTACAGTGGTGACAGCGGTCCCGGTTTGGGGAATTTTTCGGAAAATAGCGACGATTAAGTCACTTCTTCAGTATCTTTGTAAACTTTTGCAAGTTCTATAGTTATAAGAATCCTTCATCGTTAAAATTTTATTTCGACAGTGACATTCCAATTTTTTTTCTTCTCTTTCCTAATACAACAACAGAATAAAGAAACAGTGAGGTATTCAGTAAATATTTTGTGGTGTGCAGGACTTTCTTTTCAGAAAATTTTTCTTCTTCTTAGCATCGACGTGTTACGTCCCAAGACATATAGACCCTCGAGAGATTTTGAAAAATTTAGGGTATAAGCAAATAAATCAGTCTATATAATTTTCAACAGGTTCATTCAGTACAAAAAATAACCTTGTGCTACAGCACAACTTGTTAGTGCTATTACACAAATTTGTTCGTATAAAGTAGATTTTTTTTCTCGTATCACTAGAAAATAACCTCACATAAATCCCTTCCTAAAACCTAGAATCCTAAGATGCCCAATTAAGGTGAGTGAATCGCTTTTATAATCGAGTTAAGGGATGACAATTACATAATTTTTCAAAAAATAAATACTCACACCTTATTTGATATTTTTACAGATTTGTTTTTTAATTTCGTAAAATACCATATTATACGATACTAAATAATATATAAACTATACAGTCTAACAGATTATATGAAATAATATAGTATAAGAGAAATTATTAATTATCAGTGAAATATAAGAATTGAATATAATTGTTTGAAGAAATAATTATTACAGTGTAACTTAGTAGTTGAAAATAAATAATTTAAGTAATTAGGTCAAATTTACAAGTTCAGAGAATAAGTTTTTATTGCTTTCAAAAAGTGCAGAATATAAATTTTTTCGAGTAACTAACTGTTTACATATCAAATTCTATTTTAATGAAAAAATGAAAGTGAAATATGATTTGTTTGCTCGATATATGTTTGAAAAATATTTATATAAACGCGCTTGGTTAACGAACTATTCAAGTAATAAACACTGAGAAATTGGATATGACTTTGCTGGACCGTTTGAATATACTAAATTTTGATATTTGGAATTATAAATAGCGGAAAAGAATTAAATAGAGTTTAATTTTTCAAAAAAAAAAAAAAATAATAAATACTAACACCTTATTTGATTATTGATTGATTATTATTTGATTTGATTAGTTGATATTTTCTGCAGACTTGTTTTTTTAACTTCGGCAGCGTATATTTCTAAGTTCTTTTATTTTAACAACAATTTAATTCTTCATACAATTTTTGTTAACGTCATAAATTAACAGATCAGACGGAAATTAACATATAAAAAAAATGCCTCAAGCAACACCTATTACCCCAGTAACGATATCATGGCCACCGCAACCCCTAGGAGTTGTCGCGGCTACCCTTGTCGATTTCAATACAAAGGACCCCAATCGATACTTCGAGAAACTAGAACAGCGCGCACAATTAGACAAATTGAAAGAAGAGGATACCCTACAAATATTAAAATTCAAACTAACAGGACCGGCGTACCAATTTTTCAAATCAGACCCATCGTTAGACAACCTGAATTACGGAGAGTTAAAAGCGAAACTACTCCAAAAATTCGCACCAAAGAAATTGCCAGGAGAGAGGACGATGATGCTTGCAAACTGCTTCCAAAGACACGACGAGAGCGTATCGGATTTTACCACAAGACTACGAATACTAGCAGCCAGAGTTTTAGAAGGAGCAACAATCGAAGAGCAGCCAGGTATTAAGAAGAAAAACAAAGAACTAGTACTTAACCAATTTAAACTAGGGCTTAGAAGAGATTTAATGAAAGAAACAGGCGTTCTACTGTTAAAGGAGCCAAACTTAGACTTGGAAAAAGCAGAGGAAATAGTAGCATTACAGGAGATGAATTTAATGATGATTCAAGGAAGAGCGAACACAGCCAGAGTATCAGCTACAAGAGAAGAACAAAGATGCCACTACTGTAACAGAACAGGGCATCTCATAAGAGAATGCAGAACGAAGAAAAGGGAACAATCATCACCTGCAGCGCAGGAAGTCAAATGTTACAAATGTGGGAAAAAGGGACACTTCATAGAAGAAT